CCTTAAGACTGAATCAGCCAAAAAGATCACAGGTGCCCTCCATCCCCTTCCTGACAAGGCCAAAGAACGCAAACATACCTGGTCAGACTTTTTCCCAAGATGGCCTGACTCTTGGGCTCATTCAAATTCCAAAGAGAATCATTTACAAGTCAGTTTCTGTCTCCCAGGTTCATTCATTCCCCCTAGAAACTCTTTACTACCCCTCAAAATGGCTACACCCCCCAGCTGCTCTTCTCCTATGAAGAAGGGTTTAGAAGCATGTGGATCTCATTGTGTTAACTGGTTAATCATTCTCTTGCAGTTCGTCATGCTTATGCATATGTTTGTTAAATAAATTTTGTGTGCCTTTTTCTCCTGTTAATCTGCCTATTGTCAGTTCATTTTCAGCAAACCTTTCTAGGGCTAGAGGGTAAGTGGGGCAGGGGTGGGGGAGCTTTCCCTTGGCCTCTATGTTACTGGACAAAGAATGTCCAGCCACCTGTCACTGTCAGCCAATACGCAGAGATATTGGGAATAGGACCACCAAACTTTGTCAGAAGGCCAAGATTCTGGAGAACAATGAGAGTAGCCTGTCCGAGACTGTTCTGTTCTTTCATACATTACAGTTTTATACATTTGGGTTCAAAGTGAAGACCATTTTAACCCTTATCTTAGACAATAATCACCCAAACCCATGAGCCATAGGGAACAATAATTAGTATAACTCATGATCCTAAATAACATTCCAATTTAAAAGTTAATCCCATAAATCAGTCCACCTAAACTACTCAAGATAGGCATCTTTAGGGTGGGAGCTAAATTTACTGAACAGTAAGAATGGGAGACAGGGGGGTGAAGGTCAGGCAGAACCTAAACTGACCAGAGTGGCTGCATCTGCCCTAGCCTGCCTGACTCCATCTTATTTTTACTATGTATGCTTTTACCTATAGCTCCTCAAGGAAGGCTGCTGACTCTTCCTCACTGCTATCTCTCCAGCATTTGGAATGGTGCCTCCAACAGAGATGCCTGATAAGTATGTATTAAGTGCCATGCTTTGCCAAGGGGGCAGAGCAGGCAGTGGAGAAAGTTACCCTACAGGAGCAGAAAGCTTTGAAAGGGTTTGGACTTTCATGCCTATAGGACTGCGGAATGGGAAGAGGGACTAAGGCAACTTCTTCTAGATTTTAAGGAAGAGGTAGGCCCCTAGTTGCACCTGGATAAATATAAAACAGATAATACAGGCTGGGCTCAATGGCTCATGCCTGTAATCCCAGCACTCTGGGAGGCGGGTGGATAGCTTAAGCTCACTGGTTCAAGATCATTCTGAGCCAGAACAAGACATTATCTCTAAAAACAGCCAGGCAGGCAGCGCCTGTGGCTCAAAAGGGTAGGGCACCGGCCCCATATGCCAGAGATGGCGGCTTCAAACCCAGCCCCGGCCAAAAAAATAAAAAATAAATAAAAACAGCCAGGCATTGTGGTGGGCATCTGTAGTCCTGGCTACTTGGGAAGCTGAGGCAAGAGAATGGCTTAAGCCCAAGAGTTTGAGGTTGCTATGAGCTGTGACGCTAAGTACTCTACCAAGGGGGACATAGTGAGACTGTCTCAAAAACAAAAATACCAGATAAAACAAGAGCTGACAAGGTGGAGGCAGAGGTGGGGACCTGATGTCATAGTGTCTTCACCTTCTTCCTTACAGTTGCTCAGTCACCACATCAGAGCAAACTGTAGAGGCACAGCATTAGCTCCGTGGTAGCCTTCCTCTTCTGGGGCACAGACAGAGGATGGGCCCTGGGACCCCTCCCACCATAGGATTGACAGCCCCTGCACTCTGGAGAGGAGAATTAGGACTTGTTATAAGGGACCCAGGTGAAACCACCCTTTATAAAATTAATAAAGGGGCACACACACAAATAAATAAATAAATTGACGGCCACAAGGTAGAAACTGTGGTAGGAGTCTGAACTCTGCAAAGGTATAGGTGTAATTAAAGTATACAGGGTGGCCATAAAGTTCATGTGCGATTTAAAATAGTTGTCTTTTTTTTTTTTTTGAGACAGAGTTTCACTTTGTGGCTCTTGGTAGAGTGCTGTGGCATCACAGCTCACAGCAACCTCAAACTCTTGGGCTCAAGTGATTCTCTTGCCTCAGCCTCCCAAGTAGCTGGGACTACAGGAGTCCACCACAAAGTTCAGCTATTTTTTTTTTTTTATTGTAGTTGTCATTGTTGTTTAGCCCACGCCAGGTTCGAACCCACCAGCCTCAGTGTATGTGGTCGGCACCCTAACCACTGAGCTATAGGCACTGAGCCTCTTAGCTTTCTTTATTGCTCCCATAGATGACATCTTTGTGAAACCTAAGACTAATTTTTGAGGTATCTTTCCAGCCCTGCATTCTGGTGGACCAACTGACTCACCCAGACCTGTGGCCATACCAACTGACTCAACTGGTCTTGTTACCCCCATGCATGAATAAGAAGACAATTTCTGCTCCTGACCCTATGAGTTCATCCCCAATCAGCAAATCCAAATACCTAGCCCTTGGTCCATCAAACTTCTTTAAAAATTCTTTTTCCCAAATTCTCAAGGAGATGGATTTGAGAATTTCCTCCTGTCTCTTCACATGGTGCCTGTGATATTAAACTCTTTCTCCACTGTAACACCTGCTGCCTCAGTGTATTGCCTTCCTCTTGAGCAGTGAGCAATGAACCTGGTTGGGCTGTAACAAAGGTATCAGTCTCCAGGTGATGGAGGAGACTCTGGATCTCAACACAGATAGTATGTGGTCTACTGGGTGAGGTAGCTCACACCGGTAAACCTAGTACTCTGGGAGGCTGAGGTGGATGGATTGCCTGAGTTCATGAGTTCAAGACCAACCTGAGCCAGAGCTAGACCCGGTATCTAAAAATAGCCAGGCATTGTGGCAGGTGCCTATAGTCCCAGCTACTCAGGAGGTTGAGGCAAGAGAATCACTTAAGCTCAAGAGTTGGAGGTTGCTGTGAGCTGTGATGGTACAGCACTCTTCAGAGGGCAGAAAAAACTCGGCTTGGTGCCTGTGGCTCAAGTAGCTAAGGCACCAGCTGCATACATCTGAGCTGGTGGGTTCAAATCCAGCCTAGGGCCACCAAACAACAATGATGGCTGCAACCAAAAAATAGCCAGGCATTGTGGCAGGCACCTGGGATCCCAGCTATGTGGGAGGCAGAGGCAGGAGAATTGCTTGAGCCCAAGAGTTGGAGGTTGCTGTGAGCTGTGATGCCCCGGCACTCTACCCAGGGCAACAGCTTGAGGCTCTGTCTCAAAAAAAAAAAAAAAAAAAATATATATATATATATATATGGAACCTCTACTCTGAGGGTGTCATGCCTGGAGAGATTAGGGCGCTCTCACAAGGTGTCCACTTGGGAGACCTCTCTGGGCTGCCATCTTTGACTTCCTATGTTTGAACAGAGACTGTGTGATGTGCCCTAATAAGGAAGGGGAAAGATAGACAATAGCAAGACGGGAGAGAGGCAAGAAGTAGAGAGACAGCTTTAGGAGAGAGGTAGAGACAAGGAAGAGAAGAAGCAGAAGGAAAAAGTCATGGAGAGAAGGAATATAAAAAATAAAAACTCAGAGTGGGAGGTGCAGGGAAAGATCAAGACATAAAGGGGGTGAGAAATAGGGAAAGAAAGGCAAACAGAGGGCGAGAGACATAACAAAACAAAAAGGCTGAAATAAGGTAAAGATTATATCACTAGGATGTGCTTATCTTGAACCTGGAGAAAAGGAGAAGAGAGGAGAGGTGAGACAGTGGCATCCGTGGCTGTGGTCCTCCTGGAAGTTCACCACCCAGGAGGCCCATCTGCCCTGTTTCCGGCTTATCAGGGCAGGACTCCCTTTGCTATCCGGGATGAGTCATCTGCCCCAGATGGTGAGCCTGTGAGGGGTGGTGCTCTGAATGCAGCTACTAGTCATTAATAACTGAGAGAACTTATTCCAGCCCTTTCCTGGGCTGCATCCTTTTCTCTTCTTGGAAGGATCTGTTGACTTAAAGGGATCAGAGAGCCAGGCCTATTAGGGGTCAGGCAACAGGACTCAGGAGGCAGTTCTAGGGATTTTAAGCCACAGCAATCAGTCCTGGGAAAGAAGGGCCTAACCAGAGAAGAAATCTATATGATGTCAACCCTGGGGATGTTTCAAACATAAGAAAAGAGCAATTGCCCTGGGTGGGCTACAGACCCAGGAAGACCCAGCCATTATGTGCAGGAGGCCTAAAGGCCCAAAACCCAGGACCACCCCCCAGAGGAGACCTGTATATCCTAGTTCCTCAGTTTCCCACTTGCCCAGTGTACTGACTCTGACTGCTTCTGGGAGAGGAGATCTCCAGGTGTTCAGTTTCCACCTGCAGCCTCAAGTCCCCTTCTCAGACAGAAAAGGCTTGAAAAGAGTCTGGAAAATTGAGAATAGATAGATAGGTGGTAGGGGGAAAACAAATACAGCAAAATATTAACCGTGGTAAAATCTATATGGCAGTTATACGGGTGTTCACTATACAGCTCTTTAAATATGCATGTTTAGATTTTTTTCATGATACAATATCAGAGAAGGAGGAAAAAAAATGTCTGGCAAATTGCAGGCACTCTTAAGTATAAGGCCTTGGGAGTGCATTCCCTTCAAAAAAAATCTACATTTCAAATGCCTGCAGAGGGCAAGGTTTACCCTAACAGATGGCAGAGTTTGGGTTAGAGCATCTGCAGATCATTTAGGGGAGGGAACCTTTCAAGAGTACACCTTAGAGGAGATTAGCTACTTTGCCCACCCAAAGCTGCTGGCCCTTTGGTTGGTGACCTGTTCTCAAGTTTATTCTGTCCCTCCTGAGATTTGTCACTTGACCCAGAGTTGACTCTACCCTGCCACCTGTAACTCTTAGGGAAGGGGCAGGATAAAGTGTTCCAGGTCCTGCCTGACCCCTGATCCTAAAAAGTTGCTTATGTTTGCTCAGGAGGTGAGGTTCACATGATAAAGAAAAGGGGGAGGGCTAGGGCCTGGTATAAAAGATTGGCAGTTTCTGAGGGGGATTACTTTGCATCTGAAACTGCCAGGTGAGAGGTGACGGGGATACCTGGATCTGAGTAGGGTGGATTAGAATCTAAGCTGGAAAGGGGACGCCTGGGCTGAGTGACAGGGGAGACAGTTAAGTGAGGCTCCTAGATCTGAGCTGGTCTTAGGCGCAAAGATAGCTGGGTTTCAGCTGGAGGACTGGGGACACCTGGGGTGCTCAGGGGAATGGAAGTGGCCAGATCTGTGTTAGTGGAGACAAAGAATAACAAATAGACCAGGCACCTGGGATCTGATGTCTTGAGCTCATCTCAACTCCCTCTGCATATGCTCCGTCTCTCAGTCCCACCAGCATTGCTGGGTTACTGGTGTCGGCACATCTCTTCTATCACCACCTTCACTCCCCAGGGGATGCAGAAGCACCTCTAAAATGTCCCTTTCGGCTCAGCGCCTATAGCTCAACCGGCTAAGGCGCCAGCCACGTACACCTAAGGTGGCGGGTTCG